ATACAAACAATATACTATCGTAATCGTGTGTTTATTATTTGGATATTTCGTGGGTACAGAGGTTTCTCTGTGTGATGCTGTGGTCAGATATCAACGCGGAAGAGTGAAGGAAGCGCGTGACGGGATGAGACGGGGCGGGATATGATGCACAGTTATGATCGACAAGTGACGGACGAATCAGGTCTCTGTCTGTCAGAGTGCGAGCACGGAAGAGTAAACACACAGAGACAGCCCAGGGAGCGGCTAATTATCATCAGATCGCGTATATCAGTGGAAAATGAATAGAAATGATGATTCTGTCTGAAGAAATATGAAGTAAACATGAGTAAATATATCTATATATCTCCATGTATATGCATCTTTGGACTATAAGCCCTAATTAACCCTGTTCAGTGAATCTATGTGAATACAAATAAACCGCTGCTGACGTGACTGAATATGAATGCGTGGTGAATTTCTATTCTAAAAACGACTCATACAGATTTATTATTTTGCACTCCTGACATAAATTACTAAATTACTGTCACTGCAACGTTTTATCAAAACAGTGGTCAAATATCGAAGCTAGAGTCTTTAATCTTTCTACTGATGCACAGTTTGTCCAGATCAAGTAAGAGTGTGATGTTTAACGTGCTGTTAAAGTGAAACAACAATAATCTGGGGCCGTCGCCGATCTTTGACCGCTAAGAGGTTAAGTCTCGCGAAGGCCTGACTTCCCTCAAAGAAAGTTCGCATCTGCTCTCCATTCCCCCGCCTTGTGGGCAATGGAAGCTCTGTTCAAATTGGACCCGCCCTTCAGTGCATGCCCATTAAAATTACCACTGTGATAGCGGACCCACATACTCAAAAGAGCATTTCTGTTCTTCTCACTACCATGTGACTACCTCCCTCATGCGGTGACCTGCCAGTCGAAAAACTAAAACCGCTGGCCATCCGACTTCAGGCTTGGAAATCCATCCCAGATGTGTCAAGCTGGGTGGTAAAAACCATAGAACGAGGTTACACGCTCCAGTTCGCTCGCAGGCAACCTCGCTGCAGAGGCATTATTCAAACTTCGGTACAGGACCACAATGCTCACGTTCTCCGGGCCGAAGTGCAAACTTTGCTTGCAAAAGGAGCCGTAGAGAGAGTTCTTCCAGCGAACAGCAAGGCAGGATTTTACAGTCGTTATTTCCTCATTCCCAAGAGAGATGGCGGGCTCAGGCATCTAAACCACACGGTTATGAAACCGCTGTTTAGGATGCTAACTTTGAAACAGATCCTCGTGCAAATTTGTCGCGAGGACTAGTTTTTATTGGTGGATCTGAAAGATGCTTGCTTTCACAGCCCCTCATCACAGACCGTTCTTGAGATTCGCGTTCGAGGGGGTGGCTTATCAATATACAGTTCTTCCATTTGTACCGTTTCTGGCCCCACACACTTTTACGAAGTGCGTGGACGCTGCTCTTTCGCCTCTGAGGCAGATGGGAATCCGTATCATGAATTACCTCGACGACTGGCTTTTGCTAGCCAGGCCAGAACAGGAACTTTTCACCCACAGGTCACTGCTACTCAACCATCTGGAGCGTTTTGGGCTAAAAATCCATTTAGCCAAGATCTCTCTGTCTCCCAGCTAGCAAATCGTCTTTCTGGGGACAGTGATCGATTCAGCCCAAATGCGGGCATGGATTCCTCTCTGATGGTTTAGTGGCTAGCGATGTCATTCAAATGCGGGACTTTGCTTCCCCTCAGAGATTTTCAGAGGATGCTCCGCCTCCTCTGTGATTCCTCTGGGCCTGCTTTGTATGCGGACCCTTCAATATTGTCTTAAAGCCCATTTACCATTCCACACTTGGCTCCTGGGGCATCTTCATCTGAGGGTAACCCTCCCCTGCATCAAAGCTGTGGCCCCTTGGAGTAATTCTCACCTGTTTCAGTCAGGCGTCCTGTTGGGGCTGACCTCCAGGAGGAAGATAGTCATGGCAGATGCCTTCAACAGGTTGGGGAGCACTGTACGAGGGCAGACCGACATTCGGCTCCTGGGCACACCTGGAGCAACGCTTGCACATCAACTGCCTCGAAATGATGGCGGTTTCTCTAGCCTTAAGCCTTCCTACCAGCCTTAAAGGGGCATCATGTCCTGTTCCGCTCTGACAACATGACGGTGGTAGCCTTCATATATCAACAAGGCAGTCTCAGGTCACACTCCCTTTACAGGATGGCGCGCCACCTCCCTTTTTGGGCACATTGTTATCTCCTCCCACTAAGAGCAGTTCATGTGCCGGGCAGACTGAACCAAGGAGCGGACATGCTGTCCAGGGCCAATGTAGACTAGATCCCCAATCGGTTCAAATGATCTGGTCTGTCTTTGGGAGGGCAGAGGTAGACCTCTTCGCCTCAGAAGACAACTTTCACTGCCCAATTTACTTTTTGAAGCAGCGAGATGCCCTGGCCCAGCGCTTGTATGCGCGAGTTTGGCCACTCGACGGGAACCTTTACAGCTCCCTGTAAGTGTAACTAATACCATTTTGCAAGCTAGAGCACTGTCTACAAGATGCCTCTACGCCCTACTGGTGTGCAGCACACAGCCTGGACCCATCCTCTTGTGACGTGCCACATGTGCTCACCTTTCTACAAGAGCTGATGGATAAGGGTTGCACCACATTCACGCTCAAAGTCTACATGGCAGCCATCGCGGCGAATCATGCTCTCGTGGGTGGCCAGTCAGTCGGCAAAAACAACTTTGTTATATTTCTGAGGGGAGCTCGGAGGATGAACCCGCCTCATCCTCATTCTGTGCCGACCTGGATCTTATCTATAGTCCTTAGGGCCCCAAGAGGCCCTCCCTTTGAGCCACTCCAGTCGGCCGATTTGCGGCACCTGTCACTCAAGACCGCCTTTCTTTTCGCATTCGCATCGGTCAAGTGAGTGGGTGACTTGCAAGCACTGTCAGTCAGTGCTTCATGCCTTGAGTTTGGGCCTAACGACGGTAAAGTCATCCTGAAACCAAGACACAACTATGTGCTTAAGGTGCTCTCAACCACGTTCAGAGCACAGGTTATTACCCTTCTAGCTCTTCCTAGTACAGAGGACGAGCAGGGTCCCAATCCACTCTGCCCAGTTAAGGATCTTAGAGTGTACGTTAAGCACTCTGGCCCGTTTTGTCACTCAGAACAGCTTTTTGGATGCTTCGGAGGCCGCTCTAAAGGGGTGCTGGTTACGAAGCAACGACTATCTCGTTGGATAGTCTATGCTATAGCCGTGGCTTATGCCACAGAGGGCTTGAAATGCCCTATTGGGGTGAGGGCCCACTCCACACTGGGCATGATTCAGTGGGAGCTCTTTTGATGACAGCTGTGCGGCCACCGGCTGGACATTGCAGTCAACCAAGTTTACAAGGTTTTATAATTTAGACGTCCCTGCCCTCCAGGCACAGGTCTTGTCTGCTTAAATTCACCTAATCTCCTCTTTGAGTGGAAAAGGTTTTGTTATGTTGTCCCCAGTCCCCGGCTAACTTGGGGTGCATTCTTTGCTCATGCTTCTTAGGGGCCCTCATTTCGGTTGCTCCAGGGCTGGGCACGCAGAGCGACTTAGTTCTGCATTTACTCCAGTTACTTACGTAACCTTGGTCCCCTGAGATAAGGGAAAGAGCATTGCATAAGCTGCCGTGCTATAAGTCTGCACGCGAGTCGATGGCTGTCGCTGACAGTCGAAAGATTCTGACGAATGGCGCTCTGAGCCGACTTATATAGTAGTCGGCTCCTCTGCTTTTGGTGGTTTGAACTGCCATTTGTTCACGCAGGTACACAAACGTGAACAAATTAGGCTTCAGTATCAGAGTAAACAGGCGTTTCCCCATGTGTCTATACGCAATGCTCCTTTCCTTATCTCAGAGAACCAAGGTTAAGTTAGTAACGGAGCGTTTACTTCTGTTTAGGGCCTCAAAAAACTTTTGAGTGTCTGTAATTTATGTCACCCAGTCAAATAAACTGCACATCAAAACACTTATGCTTAGACACACACCAACCTTAAAGGAACACTCCACTATTTTTGAAAATAGGCTCATTTTCCAACTCCCCTAGAGTTAAACAGTTGAGTTTTACCGTTTTCGATTCCATTCAGCCGATCTCCGGGTCTGGCGGTAGCACTTTTAGCTGTAGCTTAGCATAGATCATTGAATCTGATTAGACCGTTAGCATCTCACTCAAAAATGACCAAAGAGTTTCTATATTTTTCCTATTTAAAACTTTACTCTTCTGTAGTTACATCGTGTACTAAGACAGATGGAAATTGAAAAGTTGCGATTTTCTAGGCCGATATGGCTAGGAACTATACTCTCATTCCGTAATAATCGTAATAATCAAGGAACTTTGCTGCCATACCATGGGTGCAGCAGGTGCAATGATATTACGCAGCGCCTGAAAATAGTCCCCAGCACGCTCCCTGTGCAAGCAGGTGGTCACGTTGGTTATGTTGACGGAAGTTAGCCTATTTTCAGGCGCTGCGTAATATCATTTGAATATGAATACTTGAATATTTGAATACTTTCTTATGCCACTGAATAAATATTTTACTTAGAAACAGGCCAATCTAATGTGTTTTTTTTTTTGAAGTGTCCAAAGGATAAAATAAATAAAATCACCAAAACTAAACCTGCATCCTAGTTTAAACTTCTTACCCTCACAAAGTCATCTATGAGCCTGTCAGATTCAACAATTCGGTTTTGTATTTTATGGTAACAACAGCTGTGAAGTTGTCACTGGAGAAGTAATAGATGTATTTAACATGACCTTTTTTTTCTTTACAGAGACAAACATTTTGATGAGTTTTCCAAACACCTGAAGGGTTTGGTCAACCTGTACAAGCTCCCTGGAGACAAGTGTGGTTTCCCTTTTTTTGTTTTATTTTTTAGATCAAATTCTTTCAGTTCCTGATACTATTTGCGTTTTAATATTTTTTTCTCATTTTGTTTCACAGCAAATTAAAGACAAAGATGTACTTGGCACTTCAGTCTCTGGAGTTAGACCTCACCAAGATGATGCATATGTTCAGGTACACTGATTTTTTTCTTTGTCAAGAAAAAAAAAATCCCCTACAGTAGCAAAAAAAGTACCATTTTGGACATGGTACTATTGTAATTCTATATTATGGTTTAGACCATTTCAAGGACGTTAACAATAACAAACGCATTGGAATGCTACTGTGCATGTCTTGTCCTGAAGCATTTCCGGTAGCCATTTTTTAAATCTCAGATCTGTCAAAACAAGCACATACTTTTTAAGTCTAGCGAAAACACAATAGAGGTATTTCAAAAAATGGTGATTGGAATTACCTGATCCTTTAAATCTGACTATGAGGTGCAAACTTACAAAGAACATCAAACGTTTGCTTGAATAGTTTTCCAGATGGCTCAAAGCTCAATATCTGATTGATGCTGCTTGCATGTACACGAGAGATGTCGGTAAAAGCATATTGTAGTCTGGATGCTTACAATTAACTCCTTAGTGGAAAGGTTGGGAACATTTTTTCGTACAATGTGGATGACTTCAATCTTGTTTTTGGTTAAGCTGAAGCAAGACAAACCGTGTCACTTATGTACTTATCATGGTTTGTCGCTAAGATGTGCGGGGAGGTTATTAGTGGAAATTTCACTTGCATTGCTGGGTCAGTCTGTATATCTGTGCAAAAATGCATATTCATATTTATTTGTACAGTGCTTTTCACAATGCATATCAATTCATTGCAGCTTTACAGAACATACATGTATATTACAACGCTAAATGTATTCTATTAAACTAATCGCTACATGCCATTATTACTTCAGTCATTTCAAAATGCGTGTGCTTAGTTTGGTCGTTTGTTGCTGTGGAACAGTGCGAGAAAGGGATCTAGGTTTTAGGATTCTTTGAAGAATAAAAGAACAGCATTTATTTAAAATAGAGATGTTTTGTGACAACATACACTTCCGTTCAAAAGTTTGGGGTCAGTTTTTTTTCTTTCTTGCTTTTTTTGAAAGAAAATTAATGCTTTTATTCAGCAAGGATGTTATATTGCTAAAAAGTGATTTAAGACTTGTATTGTAAGAAAATATTTCTATTTTAAATAATAATCTGCCAGGATTTATCAATCAATCCTGTAAAAAGTATCACAGGTTCCAAAACAATATTAAGCAGCACAATTGTTTCCAACGCTGACAATAACAGTATCAAATCAGCATATTTGAATGATTTCTGAAGGATCATGTGACACTGAAGACTGAAGTAAAGGCTGAAGAAAATTCAGCTTTGCATCACAGAAATAAAGTATATTAAAATAGAAAACCATTATTTTGAATTGTAATAATATTTCACAATATTAATGTTTTTGTCTGTATTTTTGATCAAATAAATGCAGGCTTGATGAGCATAAGAGACTTCTTTCAAAAACAATAAAACTAGTAATGTGTCCAAACTTTTGACCACTAATGTGTCCAAACTTTTGTACTGTATGTAAACAAAAACATCCTCTCACTTTCAACTGCTTTTATTAAAGTGTAAATATTTGTATGAATATAAAATGCTTAAACAACTGAGACATCAACATAAACACGTTTCACAGACATTTGACAAACAGAAAAGGAGTAATTAGTCCCTGGACAAAGGGGGATCAATATCAAAAACAGCAGTTACTATGTAGCCTGTCCATCAGCAGCTTTAAGTACTACATTGCATTTCATCCTCAAGTTCTCAAACACATCTGGGGCCTCATATGGTCACATGTGGTTTGGCACTGCAGGACGATCAGCTGTCCTTCCCTGCTCTGTCTTAGGTGTTTTACATTACAGATGATGGCTTTCCTAAAGACAAAAGTAGAAAAACAATTATTTAATTTAATGCACAATATTTAAAAATAATACTATTATTGTTTAAAACATCAGTATATGCTGAAATTAACTTTAACCAAGCTTAATAAGTGATGAAAAAATAGTTTTGAATGCGCTCGAGCACTAACCAGAAACGTCCAAGGAAACAAAGACGTCACTTCCGTAAACCGATGAATAGCCGTTGAAATGGTCTATTACTCCATTATTCCTTATAATGTAGTACATAAATATAGTTATCTGCTATATCTGCTGATTCTTGTGCTGAAGACGGCGCTTGGTTGCAAACTGTTCTCAGAATGCTACATTTGAACTTGTGACTTGAGAAAAAAACAATGACATAATTATGTGGTCTGATGTTAATTTAACTCTATTATAGACAAACACAACCTAACTAAAGTAGTAACACACAATCAGTTGAGTAGTCATTCACAGTCGTGAACTGCTGTGCTGATATTCCCATGTAAAATCTCTTGATACATTAATGAATTCATTGTTCCTTCAGTAGCTATGTTTATCATGGTTTCTTCAGTGGCAGCATTATCATTCTTTCTAAAGAAATTGTGACAAAAGTGATATAAATCTATGAGAATTTATCAATAGTTTTCTGAATGTGTACATTTTGAACTAAAAGCCCTAATGGAGGTTTTGTGCAGTCCTGTGATCACAAATAAATGGAATCAGACATAACATGAATAAGTATGTGTTTCCTCTTTTTCTGTGAAGTAATTATAAATACCAGTTTGATTCATTAGTTAAATATCAGTCATGGAGTCTTAGGTCTTAATTACAAGATAATAAAACAATCAGCTGCTTATGTCAAGTTAGTTTTGTGATCATCTACAGTAGCTAGTTTCCAGTCTGATTAAGCTTTCCACTAGCTGGGCAGGGTTTAGGGCAGCCCAGCATAGCTAGTAGCCCAATGATGACAGCATAGTTTGATTTTGGCCTCGCAACAGTGTAAAAGCATCTAGTGATTGCAGTTTGTCCAGGCCTTGAGGCAGCAAAGAAGCTTTAAATCAGGGGTGTACAATCCTGTTCTCTACTTTCCCGCCCTTTTTTGGTTCCAGTTTGGTCCCAGCCCTGCTCCAACACATCTGTCTGTAATTATCAAGTGTCAAGTGTTATCGCGATAGTTATTAGCTGGTTCAGGTGTGTTTGATCAGAGTTGGAGCTAAACTTTGCAGGAATGTAGATCTACATAAACAGGATTGGCACGATGCTCCTTTCACCTTGGCCTTCAGTTGGGATCACTTATTTTATTTTATTTTTTTACAACCTGCCCTGTCTTTGATCACTCTTCTTCAGTTACACTTTGAAAAGTACAACTATATGCTAGTTTAGTCAAATAGTATTTTGTTTATCTATAATGAATTCATAAATTCATTCTTGCCACTGTATGAATTGATTGACATTTTTGTGAATATTTTCATTTTAATAAAGCGAAAGTAAGGTGGCTTCAGACTATGAATCTTACAAACTTTGAGAACATAATTTTAAAAAGTAATCTTATCAGTTATTCAGCATTTTTCTGCCATTGTGACCATGCTTTTGATGCAATGATCAGAAGTTATTTCAGTATTGAACAGTAATGAACTGAATGAATAACAATTTTATTTTAGATATTTTAGATAAAGTGGCTTGAGCAGCTGTACAGTCAGGCAATACACTCTACATTAACTCTGGGCGATATAGCTAAAAAATGTATCAACGATATAATGTTTCATATCGTTCGGTATCGATTATTATTGACATTATTTAAACCTTTTTTAAAACAGAGCAATAGAATTTTTATTTTTTATTTTAACTACTGTATTTTTAAATTAACCAAATTTATTGAGACAAACAACAAATATGTTTTGTTTTAAAAATCAAACACAAAATAAAAATTAAACAAATATCTAATTTCTAATGTTTTGTGCAGATTAAAGAAGGAAATTTAAGGAAACTTTTGGCTTGTCTCCCGAGGCCACAGGAGGGCGCAATGAGCAAAATAATGCAGGACATTTAAATTGTCAATGCAAGGAAATAAATGTTTATAAAAAAACCTGCATTCCGTCTAAATTAACTCATATAAATCAAATATAATTTTGTAAATTGCATAAACAATTATGAACAAAACAGCATCATGTATTTATGCATTGTTTAATACAAAGAGCCGAATCGCCCATCACGCAAATTTCATTTAAAAACATGAGACTCAGTGAAATAAACCTCCACGAGTTCGCAATGTGTTTTCTAAAAGTTTAAACGGTTTAAATTTGCATGGCTACACCTCTTGTGTGAGACACGAGTGCAGCAGTCATATTTGTCCGTCTAAAAATGCACTGAATATGCATCTGTGTGAATGACTTGGTTTCGGTTTTCACCTAATCAAGATCTTCTCCGCATTGAGCTTCTGTATTTCTCTAATATTTTGAATGCATAACACAGCAGCGGCGCATCTCGTGGGCTAGACTAACAAAACATTAAAATGCAACAACGTCACTTACATCATTATCATCGCATCTCGTGCTCCACTGATGACACTCCCTGACGCCCTCCTAACATTCAAATGCAAATGTTTATTTTAAACTTGACTAATATATCGAACATTTTTTTGATATCGTTGTCGAAGAAGGTGTACCGTCGATAAATATCGATACCGTTTTATCGCCCAGGCCTACTCTACATATAGAATTGTTTTATGTTAACACTGACCTATGATGTTTATGATTCCTTGTCAGGGCTCGAAATTAACTTTTTTACTTGGTAGCACTGGTGCTCCCAACTTCAAAAAGTTAGGAGCAACAGCAAAAATTTAGGAGCACTCACCAAAAATTTAGGAGCACCACAACTACAAATTATATATTAACAGATTTTATCCTTACATTCTTAACTGTGCTTGGAATTATTTTTGTTGGCGAAATAGAGCAAAAAGAGGAAATATAGTGTATAAAACGTAAGTCTCTTAATATTAACTAATTTTTGATTGAACAGTTGTATAAAATCAATATCACATTTGTAAGCATGCTAATTTTTGGAGGAAACAGCACTCTTCTTGTGAAACCATTTTCATAGCGGAGCCACTAGAAGTCTTTCAACCACTCTCTTCGAAAACTGTACGCCTACTATTCGGCTGGTGGATCAACATCCACCACATGATCGCTATCAAAGATGAAGTTTAATTGGTTATGTAGCCTAACGTTTCATAGAACGGCAGACAGGTGACCGTATCAGCACTTAGAAGGCACATACTCTGAACGTTTTTAGAGAAATTAAAACAGGTCGCACGACAACAATTATATGCACTCGCACAAATGCTCCCAAATATATTTTGAGGTCGTACAGATTACATTTCGGGAGCATATGTGACCAAAATGGTCGCAGTTTCGAGCCTTGCTTGTTAAAGACCAGCATGTTTTAGAGGCCAGTGTGCAGCCAGTTTTTGCTTCCTTTTCTGTACTGCAAACACGCAGAATGGTTTCAGACCGGTCACCGGTTCTGTATCTGTGTTGACATTCAGTTCCATAGTGTATATCAGAAAACCACTGTTTTTTTTTTTGAAAGGGTATAATTACTCAATAACTGAATCAATTTCTACCATAGGATAGCCACTAATGCCAACACTGTGGAGACAATACTTCACGGTAGTGTGGGTCTGTTGACGGCGAGGAGCGGCGGTCATCTAGTATCTCTACAGTGTTATGTTTCTCCAAATGACATCTTTGAGGAGGGAACAGGAGCCCAACTGAACTACACTGCTGTCAATAGTAAGAAAACAAAAACAGTTCAATTGTATATTTACTTTGAATATAAAAAAAAAGTTTTTTTTTTTGTTTTTTTTAAAGGACATTGATTACTATCTTCTCTTGTATTCCGCAGTTCCCCGTACTTTAGGTGTGAGTGTGTCGGTGACTGTTGAGGGCACCACATCAGTTTACAAGCTACCCATCGCTCCGCTTATCACAGGATCTCATCCAGTTGACAACAAAGGGTCAGATTTACAAAGAATTAAAGTTCAATTAAAAATGAAATTTTGTTGTCTCTACTATAGTGTAATCTGGTGTAATCTCTTCCATGGAAGAGTAGTATTTTCACACCGCATACTTGACCAGGGGCCTATGTGGCTTGTGCATTATATCCTGAAGTTACATGATAACTTTGCATGAGAAATATGTACTGGTTGTTCCATTGGTCTTGTTAATGATTTATTAACTATTTATGCAAGTCTTCATTCTTTCAAGATATTTTTCCCCCTCTAGGACTCCATCATTTTCTTCTGTAACAAACTCAAACTGTGTAGATTTACCAGCATGTTTCTTCCTGAAGATGAATCGCTTGATGCCATTCTCTTTATCGTATATTAAAAAAATGGGCAGTACTACAGGTATGTATATAATCCTGTTTGAAAGCCTAGGTGTAGATTTGATCTGAAGTTAGATGTTGGATGACTTTAGTAGACTACTACATCAATGTAGTTATTATTATTAGTTATTGTGCTTCTGCTATTAAATTGTCTAAATGACAAAATGAAAATCATTAGGTATACAGTGGGGGAAATATTTATTTGATCCCCTGCTGATTTTGTAAGTTTGCCCACTTACAAAGAAATGAAGGGTCTGTAATTTTTATGGTAGGTTTATTTTAAAGGGGTCATATGATGCTATTTTAAAGATCATTATTTTGTGTGACAGAATATGTTGACATGCTTTAATGTTCAAAAAACACATTATTTTTCAAATACTGTACATTATTGTAGTTCCTCTATGCCCCGCCTCTCTCAAACGCGTCGTTTTCTACAAAGCCCCTCCTTCTGACAAGCACAGTCTGCTCTGATTGGCCAGCTGACCCAGTGCATTGTGATTGGCCGAACACCAAAAGCACGCGTTGGAAATGTAATGCTCCTTTCCATAATCGCGAGCTTCAGCTTTCAACATAAATGTAAAGACAGTAAATAATGTCCTTAGTTTTACCATCAGTTCAAGCCCGAAAGGGGAACAGAGTTGCGTGAC